ACTTTTTGTCTTTCCGATTATATCCACGAAACAAAAACGTCGCGCGGATATCTCTCTGCAGTAGAATTTCCCATAAATAGGCAGACATTCGCCGATCCAATTGCGACGAAACAAATCTACAGTAATTACAGCAATTACAGTAACAAAACGAAAGATACGTCGCTAGCAGCGCGTAATAATTCCAAAAAGGATGACACCAGGTTTCACGATCTGCTTCATTCTTTGTTACATCTTTGGTGGTCTATTGTAGCGAAATACGATGCAATTTCTCGCATAATAAAAATCGCACGGCAGGTCGAAAGGTAACGTTTAGTGGCGCACCAACGACGCTCAAACGAATTAACAAAGACGAAAAAGACAGCGGCGTAATCTCGGCCGGTCGTCGTTTTAAGTGGCCGCAGTAAATCGAGCAGAAGCAACGAGGAACGAAACGTTCTCCGTCTAAGTGCTTGTTCCTCGAACAGGTCCACGTAATTAGTGGGCAAACGAGGATTTAATGGATCAAGCTGAATCCGTCCGGTTCTTTGCACAGACAAGTCTGGGGACACGAGGACAATCGTCACTCTGACCACACGAGCACCATCTACATACGTTCTACATACATACATACATCACACACATGGACACGCGAGGTTCACGGTGTTTTGTTGAGCTAGTTGCAAGTGTCTCTAACACGACACTTTCTGCTTTCCTCTTTTTCTCTCTCTCTCTCTCTCTCTCTCTCTTTCTCTCTTTCTCTGCTACGTGTCAGCAACAGCAACAGATTTTATATGCACTGACAGGTTTTATATGTAGAAAATATTGTACACACATACACACACACACGTACACATACACACATTGAAGTTGTAATAAAAATATGGAACAGAAGATCTGATACCGGACATTCCGATCGATTTGACAATTCCAGTGTTCACATCCAGTGTTCATTGTTTAACTCTTCGAGGCACACGATTTAAAAAAAAATAAAAATAAAAAGCCAAGTTGCACAGACCCTTTTTTTTAATATAAAAAAAATGGAAAAAATATTAAAATATAAATTGTATGACTATGAGTAACTGGATTAAAATATATCCCACCATGCATAAAAAGCTAAGCAAAGGGTGGGACATTTTTTAACCCATCTAACCCCAAAGAGTTAAGGAATAAACGACAGTTTGTCGCACAGTAATTTGCAGACTTGAATTTCTCGAAATTTCGTAATATCGCGAGATATGATCTAGGTGAAAGACACGGTCAAGCGAATCCTTGGAATTTCTCAGTGTCAAAAAAACGGGATACGATGATATAAGTTCATCGATGATTGTTGCACAGAGTGTGACCTTAAAAAGAAGCAGAAAACCATAGTTATAAAAGAGAAAAAAACACTCGTAATCTTCCAATATTCTCAAAGAGAGTTCCCACAAGGAGGAAAAATTGCAAACAGCCTACTAAGGTTCATTCGCTTTGCGTGCAAGTTAAAAGACAGAACACGTCTTCCACTGTGCGTGTTATCCACACTACGAGGGTGTAGTATTCGACTCGAGTAAAACAGAGGGGAGGAACTCTATCGGGGAACTTGTTGATCCGACAGGTTGCACCGCCACCGATACCACTGCGACCGCCAGCGATCCCGAAACGGAGCAGAAACGAGAAGCCGATCCCGATACAAGTAGCAACGAGGAAGAACGCTCAGACGAACCGGCAGAAAGCTAGCGATCCAGCGCCAACGTCCTCGTCGATTTTATCCTCCTCCTGGTCCTGCGAGACTAACAACGACAAGCTAATCGACCTGGGTCCCCTGCAGGCCCAGGACCAACCTAACGGCCAAGAATACACGTTGAACTTCACGGGCGAAGAGTCGCGGGATACGAACGATGAGAACGATTTTGTGGCGGACTTCGATAAAGCGAACTTCGACGGCGACTGCAAGCCGAGTGACAAGTCCAGCTTCGAGGAACTGCAGAAGGCGTCGCGCGACTTGGAGAAGAGGTTGCACGAGAGAACTGTGAAGAGCGCCGGGTCGAAGTTCAAGGATCAGGCTGGAGAAGGCAGGCAGAGGCAGGCAGCCAACGCGCAGAACAGCAGGTGAGCGAGATTCGTGTGATTCGTTATGGGTGACAGTGGAAGAGATCGACGTATAGTCAGTCGCACGAGTATTCGTACGGCATTCTCCTTAAAGAATCAGAGAAATTTTGAGAGAACGATTCGTGTCAAATTTGTATCAAAATCTTGTTTCAACGGTAAAACTTGTTCGTATCTTGATCGTTTCAGCACGTTGTTATTGTAAAATAGCATGTACAGTTGAAAATTGACAATTGGAAGGAGACAGATATCTCTATGACTCGCTATTTTGATTATTATTAATCAAATGTTCAAGAAGTCGAACTTATTTCCATCTGTGTACTCAATTAATACTAAAGCGACAGAGAATAAGGCACGTGCAAAATTTATCCAAAGATTTATCTAAAGACCTTCATAATCAAACAAATTTTCATCCTCGTTTGAAAGTATAGAGATAATTCAACTTTTTTCTCCGAATTCCTCAAATTATCTCTCAGAATATCATGCGATTTCCCTTCCTTTTAATCCACCCACATGCGTCAAATGAATCCAAGCTCCCAATCCCCCTCGTTCCGTGTAACGTTGCTTCGTTCTAAAACCATGTCACCATGTCACCCTGGCGAAATCACGTTAGGAAACTTTGTTGCACGCGCGCACCAACATGAATTCCGAAATAAAGCTAATATATCCAATTAATGTATCTTCTTGAATGATAATTATTTGCAAAAATATTCTATATAACTCTTGGAATATTCCAAATACATTTTTTTATCTTCTAACCCTTAATTGTTACTGTGAAGTAGACACTTTTAATAATTTAATCTGCTACAGTTCAAATTTATTCATTTTAATAATTAAATATTAAACGAATTGTCATCCGGATTTTCAGACAAAATTTTAAATTGAACGAAGAAGAAGTTTGACAAAGTGTCTAAAAAACAATAAGTTCACAATACATCGGATAAATTACACCGTACTTACAGGGAATAAAAGTCTATCTGAGATCCGTTCTGTCCTTCCATTAACTTTTCGTTCGATCGAAACGATGACCCGGCCAACGAGTTAATCTTCCCTTATAAACTCATTCCCCGTCGTCGAACTGCAATATCTATCCATCACGTGCACCGAAATTATAAAGAAGCGGTCGACGTTCCCTGCAAAACGCTTCTACCCTCATCGCCGGCACACTAAAACGCACGTGGCGAGCGAACAGAGAATTAAGGCCGTTTACGAGCACGGCAGACCGTTTCGACGGAACGTCTGGCTCGAACTGGCGGAGATGAAGTCACGCTTCGTTTAGCCCGTCGCGAGCGTAATCGGTTGTGGCGTCTCGCCGCTAATTCCTCCGCTTCTCTACACTTTTTCCACGGCTAGGAAGTTGCAACACTGCCAAACAGAAGAGACGAGCAATTTTGTTTCGCACGAACACAGATCTCAGTCGTTACTAACTTTTGTGTAATTCAGTAATTCTTTAGCAACTTTTAGTAATCCAAAATAGTGCACCATTGTTTCAGGATTCCGTGGAAAGATTCTAACTAGGGGAAACTATGATCTTGGCGCGAGGTTTGAATGAGAAAAACAGTCGAGACGTGATAATACAACTTGTGTTTTAATAGGAATTTTAATAGGATGGGATTCAATTAGGGAGGTCACAGCTCCGATACAGAGGAAGAAAATAACTCTAGACGATAGGTGAAATTTATTGCGGCGGCGAGAATTGGAGTCGGGAAAATGATGATTCGAGTCAAAATTCAAACAGTCGACAGCATATACAGTGAACTCGAAAGTACAACGCGAGGGAGAGAGAGACTTACGTAGCTGACTTTAATTTAGAATTCTTCCCATTCTTGGCGCAAGAGTTTAATAGAACGCTACCTTGCCCCCGCGAACCTACCTTCGCCGCTGTTTCGGGTTATTACAAACTTCGTTTTAGAAACCCACGGCTTCTAACACGTTCGTACAC